GGGGGGGGGGGGGGGCAGTCGGCTTTCAAAGATGTGCCGACCCATCTAGGTAGCCTTTTCTCGAGTTGACACGTTTTAGGATGGTGGCTAGACGATCTTACTCCAGCTTCACAGGCGTTCACAAGTTTTACCATGGTGAGATTCGTAAACCGGAACTAGGGAAGCAATGTTAGTACAAAAATGCCCCCGCGCTAAACAGCGCCCCACTATGCTGCTTCCACTTTCTAAAAAGAACAGTGACGAAATGTGCTGCTCATGTGCGATAAGCTTAAAACGAAAGCGATTAAATTGATTTTTGCAGTGTACCAGTCACAGAACCGCTTGATGGGACGGTTTCTGCAGAAATTCCAGGAAATCGCCCACCTTCAATTTGTCCGGCTTTATATAGAAATGGTAATTTGTGTGGATCGTGGACTGTGCGAGCGTTCCAGTCTCCGCCGTTCTCGGTAATAAACTGAAACGTTCAAAAATTAGATCATTGATAAGATTTCTATACGATTACTTTAGAATCCTGAACAGATTATCACAAGAATGCTGAGTTATGGGCAAAAGTCGGACCACGGACGGGATTCGAACCTCTTCTGCTTTCCGGTGCAGCTGCGTTCCCTATTACGCTACCGGGGCCACTTTTGACCACTCAGCTCAATGGCTATTTGTGCCTTCGAGCACTCACACGTTCAACGTGATGAGCCGGTTAGCCGATATCGGCAGTGAACCGCAAGGCTGAAGGCTTTTACAAGTTTCAAGCTGTTATTGTTTAGTAACTGCTGTTTAACGCCGCAGTGCGCGATCCGAAAGCTTCGGATCGCGCACTGCGGCGTTAAACAGCAGTTGCTAAACAACCGCCTGAACAGATTTCTCGTGGCGTCTTCAGCCATGGGAATATTCAGGTCCTGATCACGCAAGAGAACTGCCGATTCCACTTTACCCTTTTCCCCCTAAATTTGGTATAAACTCCCATACTACTGTTATTTTCGGCGCCGCTATTTCTGAATTTACAAACTTGGCATGCATTCTTAGCGTCGAGGCTGCTTGGCGCCACCATGGAGCTAGCGCAATTTTTGCCGGAACACGTTCCTTCTCGAACTGATATAAACATGCAACCAAAGTCCATTCTAATTACAAATGCAATATTAATTCCTGCGCACCGGTGCCAGCATGGCACGTACGACTAATTTTCATTGAAATTCTTGACCACTAATTATATTCATTTTTTGGCACCAGCGCTAGCATCGCTCTGTAAGGCAGCGTTCATACTTGTAGCGCTACAGCGTCGCGCTACAGCGTAGCGCTACAGCGCCGCTTCGCAACGTACTGCAATTTCCAACGTTAGGATGATTAGAGTTAAAGACATTAATAGCAACTCTGAAACCAAATAATTAAAGTCAAAAACGATAAATAAAACCAATTATCACAGTCTTCTGTATCAAAAACTACATTAAAATGTGATAAAGTAGAAAACAGGAGCTCACTATCAGATAAATATGAAAAAAGAGAAGAGGGTTGAATACAGAAAGAATGAATACAGAATCCAATGCCGCTTATCGATTATGGAGCGAAATCTGCTTTTCGAATTTGCCCCCAATCTCTGCCTGGATCACAGGAAAAAGATTCATGCCGGTTTTCGAGGCATTCACAGCCAAAGCTTTGACAGTTTCTTGTACTTTTTTGGCCTA